GATTAATAAGCTGCAATTTCTGCCTATTCGCTATCGTTTTGCTCACTGACCCAGTCCTTGAGACATCAATAACTTCGAATCGCCACCGTTTCGTTCATAAGTGGCATAAGTTTGGACCTAAGATGTTCCAGAGTTATAATTAACAAATTAGGAAGCAGTTGTTGAATTGTATTGCTTCAAATGTGTATCAGGCCAGGGCGAGATGACCCGGTGGTTAGAGGGCGCATTTACTGACCGGAAGGCCTGTGGTTCGAACCCGACCTCTGCCTGTATACTTCCCCTGTCTAGGCTTGGGCAACCTGATTGTATCCCAGCTCTCGTGCTTCATTCGGGTGGCATGACAGCTGAGCACTGAAAGGGGGTGTGATAGCTAAACGAGTATCTTTAGCAGACGACAAGGTTGCATGCTTTGAAATAAAAACAAGACATGTCGCATAAAATAGTGGATTTTTATGCCTCACGAAAAGGTTTGTACATGATGTTTGAAACTGCTTCAGATTTCATCTGATGCACACCGATCGCTTGTGTACTATAAAATCAACAACCAGCTTCTCTTGGTTGCTACTAAAAAACTGCGCTAGTTTGCTTTCGAATGCCCTTTATCGACAGATGAACTTTGGTTCAAGAATCCACTTGTCCACTGATCATGCAACTTGCATTGAATGTGATCTGGGCTTCATAGTAATTCTAAAACCGAATATTAACGAACGAGCGGTCGTGGTTGCTCCCCTTGCGAACTCACTGCTCAACACACCCGCGAGATGATATTCGCATGGCGGTTTTCTCGTCTCATCTCTTATACTTAATTCTGTGCGCTGATTCTCTTTTCATATGCTTCACGTAACTCCAATGCATTTAGTAATGAAAAACCAAGCATTTGTTGGTTAGATGAGTGACAAGCTGCTAAAATTGTTGAACTGAAACAATGGACAAACGCAATCCCCTTAAAATTACTGTTTTAGGCATAGTTCTAGACGAGTGGTCATGTCGAAATCCTCTTCAAGCTTTGTAGCTTATAAAACGTTCATTCTTGAGCTTCGTCCGCCAATCTACTGCATAAGGATATTGCTTGTGGGTCACTTCTTCCCAATCAGGATTCAGTCTTTGCAAGGCAATCCGTTTCAGTCCGGCTTCACATTTTTCATTTTATTGAAATGGGTAAAGTGTTGCAAGTGGAGTTCCGCTCCAAGGCAGTTTCTGTGGAACAGATTTTCTCTTGTGTGTGAATTACCCTGGCACCCGTTACCTCAGTCCCTATTGCCGTACAAACTTGAGAGAGGCTGAGGCCTGAGAGGCTGATTGAAGCATATACAATCCCATAGAACTTTGTTTGTTGATATATGGATACCAATCGATTAGATTTTCTATCGTCTAGTCCGGTTTCCTGACAGAAATAGGGCATCTTCGCGCCAAGACCCCAACCCCTTTTCCGTTTACTCTCTCCTCAAGCACTCTTCTCAGTTTCTTCATGGTTTTATGGCATTTTGGCACCAGAGTGCATCACTGGTATATTACTGTCAGTGATGATGTGATGAATGACTTGGTTTCCAGTCTGTCACCATCCCATGACACGAACTAAGTTAAACACGGAATCAGTCTCCCACTAAGAGGTAGTGCCCTGGATACCGTATTGCTTGTGAGAGAGTAATGTGAGGGAAGTCGCATTCGGCACTTGTTGACCTTCAGAATAGCGATGTTTTACTGGTTACTGCCCAAACGCTTTGCGCTCCACTACAGTCCCTGACAGGTTTTGTTCACGTGCAACAATAACTTTCGTACCGCTGGTATTCCTGTTGGTAAAAAGGCGTGGGAATTCACCTGGGTGTCCGATTAGTCTATGGCGGGTAATTCACTGAGTCCAACCCTAAAAAATACCGGTGTCGACAAATCAAGTACCACTTGCATAACTTTGTCAGGGCGAATTTTCAGGACGGCACCTGCTAATCATAGATGCAAATATGTCAATTGTGTGTGTAGTGACAGAACAATCAAACTAACTGCAGGTGTGGTTACCTTTTGAAAATGAAACAAATGGGAGGACGGCAATAGAACTATTAATTTGAGAACTGATCCTAAAGTTAGAGTAAAACCAATTTCAAGATATATTTAAGTGCATAAACAGCAGTGACTATTTCAAACACTTTTGTCAACAGTAAACCTAACTTATGGGTGGAAGCATTAGGAGAAATCAAGTTCGTTAATAAGTGCTACAGTTGAGACATTAGGTTTACACATTTGGGCCGGGATAGGTTGAATTTTACGCATATGTCTTTCCGAGCTCACTGATCTGATCAATGGAGCGTCACACTCAAAGACAACACAGTGAGAGGGGGGGACTCTTCTACTAGTTCCAACATTCGGATGCTGTGTTCACCTTTACAAACTTGTTTGAGTGACGTCAACGCTCAACGATCGATGAAGGTGCACCCCTTCCTCTACTGAGAGCTTTAAATTTCTGTCGTGCTTTGATGCGCAGTGTGTGTGCGCGCGTGAACCTTACGTGTTGTTCAAAAGTGTTCGAAACGGCGTACGATCCCGCGTGAGTTGTCTCTTTTTTCTCATTTAGGTTTCCTTGTTTAGTCTGGAATTTTTCGACGTCTTTGGTTATTTCCTTCTTGGCGTTTCCCGTATTTTGTGTCACGTCAGCACTGCGGGCTGCTCACGCCAGATAGAATATTTACAGTTTACTAAGATTCGTTCACACGGTTGAAATAGTGATCTACGGACTCGTTAACTTGTGTCAACGGAACTAAGCAGTTGTCTTTTTACAATTCACCAACTTGTTCAGCTTAGAAAATATCTAGCGACAAAGTTCAAAGTATTCACAAACCATCAGGTATTTGATTCCGCCGGCTATTCTTCTATTAGTAAACTTCTCATGTTTTGAAAATTAGGCATTCCGCCCACGGACGGCGGTCAGGTCAAGGTGAATTCCATTTCGAATTGGCATCGCACGACATCCCCAATCCGCTTTTTGGGTGCAGGAACTTGATCTTACGTGTGTGTGAAACATCACGACTCCTCTGATGTCTTGTTTCGGGGTTACTGAGCTTATTTCGGTTGCTTTTACGGGAGGAGCTAGTACTAGGTGACCGGGAACCAAGCTGCACCCAATGGATGCGCTGAGATAAATTATTTGCCTCTAAGAAATTCCATTTGGTAATTATCCGGGATGCCATCTGTCCATTTTCTTGATCTACCATGCCACCTCTCAGTATTCATGACAAATTACCATTTTTACGGCATTGTTTTGTCACGCGACACATAAGTTAGCCTGTTTGTGAAGATTAGTGTCTTTAGCCCTTATTGACCGAATCACGGTGGTCGCTGCGTGGGGGAGGGGTAGCTTATTGGTTTCAGGCTGTCAACCAGTTTACACGGATGTCGTAGCCCAGTTCCCTATGTTCAGTACTCTAACCTAATGGTATTCCAAACATTTTGGCTCAAACAGAATTGTGAATGTGTACAATATTCCCCGCAATGACGATGGGTAGTACAATAATCGTTCGACTGAAGCACCCTTCCGGTGTCTGGCTGCATTCCATCTGTGGGATGCTCGAGGGCCGAGATATTATCAGGGTACCCAAGCCTAGACAAAGGCAAAGGTTGGGTTCGAAACGCGGACCTTCCGGCCAATAAGTTCATGCCTCAATCACTGAGATTCTTCGAACCCGGAGTAGGGAAGAAGCTGTATCCTTACAATGGCAATGGAGATGTTAATTTGTAGAACTTCCTTACGAAGTCGACATGATGTCAGATTCTAGGTGTATCGAGGAATCTGGCCAGAGTTGACGCAATCCCAAACACATTTTTCAACTGCAAACGTCAATTATGATTATGTTACCAATACAGTACATGCATTAAGTATGTGCCGATTAAACAATATGACTAGGCGCATGGTACTCGGTCGAATTATATTGTTTCGCTGGTTTGTTATGCAGTCGGTTTATGTTGTAAAACTGAGAGACACTGTAGGTATGTTTCACCGTTACTGAGTACATTCCACAAACCTGTAGGGCGATTGGGACCCCACATCTTCAGGCTAGTAATTGAACACTGAAGGTTCAGCGTTGTGTAGCCGATCAACTAAAAAGGGTCAGGTTAGAAGGACAAGACAAGCACAGTCCTGCCATACCCCGTAACCGGTAGAAGAATCGAAGAAGGGTTTAGAGCAAATGACATGATCAAACTCCTAAATAAACGATCTCGCCTCCACTCGAGAACATCCAGGCTGATAAAGAATAAACCTAAAACTCACTTTCTGGTCCACTAACAGTTTTCTACAATCGGTTCACGTTAATATAATCGTATTCTTCTGTACAGATTCGTATCAACAGCCAAACTTCTGTAATTTTTCCTTTGGTTCATCTGACGAAGCTGGCCACTCATCGCCAAATGGACCATGTAATAGTTGGTTTCGGGAAGACTTTCTGACATCCTGTGTCCCGGATAAGGTTTTGAGATAAAACAACAGATTTGAGCCGATGGGGTTCACTGGCGCATTCAAAAAGCGCATTAATCACTAAGAAGTTTTCACAATCCTTCCATGTGCTGTGGTATCGATCACCGTACTTCGACAGAATGTCTTGCCAGTGTTAAACTGTTACAACAGTCTGCACGCTTTTGATGCTCTATTTTCCCTATACTTTACGTCCCTTCACGGCACTATTGAGCTTCTGGCAGTGATACTAAGATTAGTTTATCAAGAAAGCACCTTCAGTAGGTTAGATGTATCTTCCAGAATACTTTATCTATCAGGTGACTTGATAGTGCGCGGGGGAGACCATGTCGGGCCATTCGTTTAAAATCACCAAAATCAACTGATTTTCAACAGGTTACTTTTCACCCTAGACCGTTCGTAGTTTTTTTTTCATTTAACATAACTGAAATTTTCCAAATACTC